TATGCATGGGGGTATTGAGATAAAAATACAAAAGGTTTGCTAGGGTATTTATTTATTTATTTACTTACTGTATTTGTATACCGCCTTTCTCAGCCTATTGGCGACTCAAGGTGGTTTCCAACAAAACAGTATACACAGTATCACAATACAATTTAAAACATTACAATTACATAAACCACAACAGCAATAAAAACAACATCATTGGCGTCTCCTTATTGTCAAGCATTGTCCTATTCCATCGTCAATCATCAATTCCTATATCATTTATCCATATCTGTTACTCTGTGTTTGTGAACACTTGCTCAAACAGCCACGTTTTGACTTGCTTCCGAAATGTTAAGAGGGAAGGAGCAGATCTGATCTCTCTAGGGAGGGCGTTCCATAGCTGGGGGGCCACTGCTGAAAAGGCCCTGTCTCTCGTCCCCGCCAAGTATACCTGTGACGAAGGCGGGACCGAGAGCAGAGCCTCTCCGGACGATCTCAAGGTTCAAGATGGTTCATAAGGGGAGATACGTCCGGACAGGTAAGTTGGGCCAGAACCGTTTAGGGCTTTAAAGGTTAAAACCAGCACTTTGAATTGTGCCCGGTAGCAAACTGGCAGCCAGTGGAGCTGGCGCAACAGGGGGGTTGTATGCTCCCTGAGAGCTGCTCCAGTTAGCAATCTGGCTGCTGTCCGTTGGACCAGTTGAAGCTTCCGGACAGTCTTCAGAGGCAACCCCACGTAAACAGCATTGCAGTAGTCTATACGGGATGTAACGAGATATCCTCAGCCCCAACCCCCGAATCAAATTCAGCCCTCCCCCTCTCCCAAATCAAACTCAGCACCCCCCGAATCAAAATCCTGGCTATGGGCCTGGCCAAGACTACAGTTCTAGGGTCATTCACTTACAACCCTAGACAGTAAAAGCCACGTTTGGTTAAACCCGAAGTTGCTCTTAGTTCAAAAACAAGTCAAAAATATTCAGTGTTTTCAACCATCTTATACAGTACATATCGAAAAGCAATTAATTTATTTCCTAAGTCTAGACAGCATGCCTTATGTTCACCACCAGGGGGGAGCATCTACGCAATGCTCAATTCCTTCTTCCAGGCAAACTCAACTCTGTCCTCAATATACTATATTCACTATCATGCAAGCATTTCCCATAGACCAGTGTTTCTCAACCTTGCTAATGCTGCGACCACTTAAAACAGTTCCTCATGTTGTGGAGACTGCCAACCATAAAATTATTTTCATTGCTTTATCATAACTGTAATTTTGCTCCTGTTATTAATTGTAATGTAAATAGTTGTTATTCTGGATGTATTTTCATTCACTGGACCAAATTTGGCACAAATACCCAATATACCGAAATTTGAATACTGGTAGGGTTGGGGGGAGTTTGTCACTTGGGAGTTGTAGTTGCTGGAATTTATAGTTAACTTACAATCAAAGAGCATTGCGAACTTCACCAGTGATGGAATTGAACCAAACTTGGCACACAGAACTCCCATAGCCAGCAGAAAATACTGGAAGGGTTAGGTGGGTTTTGCATTGAGTTTTGGAGTTATAGTTCACCTACATCCAAAGAACACTGTAAACTCAAACAAAGATGAATCCTGACGTCAAACTTGGCATGAATACTTAATATACTCAATCATGAACACTTTTGGGAGTTTGGGGGAAAATAGACCTTGACATTTGAGGGTTGTAGTTGCTGGGGAAGGCAATGGCAAACCACTCCAGTATCCTTGCCAAGAAAACTAAATGGACCAGTACAACCAGAGATATGTCGGTATGCCATTGGAAGATGGGACTCCCAGGTCGGAAGATGGCCAAAATGCTACTGGGGAGGAGCAGAGGATAAGTTCAACTAGCCCCAGATGTGATGACGCAGCTAGCTCAAAGCCGAAAGGAAGGCTAGCGGCCGACGGTACTGGAGGTGAACAACGAATCCGATGCTCTAAAGATCAACACACCATAGGAACCTGGAATGTAAGATCTATGAGCCAGGGCAAATTGGATGTTGTATTGGTGAGATGTCAAGACTAAAGATAGACATTCTGGGGGTCAGCGAACTGAAATGGACTGGAATGGGCCACTTCACATCAGATGACCACCAGATCTACTACTGCGGACAAGAGGAACATCGAAGAAATGGAGTAGCCTTCATAATTAATAAGAAATTCGCTAAAGCGGTGCTTGGATACAACCCAAAAAATGACAGAATGATCTCAATTCGAGTGCAAGGAAAGCCTTTCAACATTACAGTGATCCAAATATACGCCCCAACCACAGCTGCCGAAGAAGCAGAAGTAGATCAGTTCTATGAGGATCTGCAGGACCTACTGGATAATACACCAAAAAGAGACATTATTTTCATTACAGGAGACTGGAATGCCAAGGTGGGAAGTCAAATGACAACAGGGATCATAGGCAAGCATGGTCTGGGAGAACAAAATGAAGCGGGACGCAGGCTGATAGAATTTTGCCAGGAAAACTCGCTGTGTATAACGAATACTCTCTTCCAACAACCTAAAAGACGGCTTTACACATGGACCTCACCAGACGGTCAACACTGAAATCAGATTGACTACATCCTTTGCAGCCAAAGGTGGCGGACATCCATCCAGTCGGTGAAAACAAGACCTGGGGCTGACTGTAGCTCAGATCACGAACTTCTTATTGCCCAATTTAGAATAAAAATAAAGAGATCAGGGAAAATACACAGACCAGTTAGATATGATCTCACTAACATTCCTAGCGAATATACAGTGGAAGTGAAGAACAGATTTGAAGGACTAGATTTAGTAAACAGAGTCCCAGAAGAACTATGGACAGAAGTCCGCGACATTGTTCAGGAGGGGGCAACAAAGTACGTCCCAAAGAAAAAGAAAACCAAGAAGGCAAAATGGTTGTCTGCTGAGACACTGGAAGTAGCCCAAGAAAGGAGGAAAGCAAAAGGAAACAGGGATAAGGGGAGATATGCCCAGTTAAATGCGCAATTCCAGAGGTTAGCCAGAAGAGATAAGGAACTATTTTTAAATAAGAAATGCATGGAAGTGGAAGAAGACAACAGAATAGGAAGGACAAGAGACCTCTTCCAGAAAATTAGAAACATTGGAGGTAAATTTCAGGCAAAAATTGGTATGATAAGAAACAAAGATGGCAGGGACCTAACAGAAGCTGAAGAGATAAAGAGAAGGTGGCGAGACTATACAGAAGATCTGTATAGGAAGGATAATAATATTGAGGATAGTTTTGACGGTGTGGTGAATGAATTAGAACCAGACATCCTGAGGAGTGAGGTTGAATGGGCCTTAAGAAGCATTGCTAACAACAAGGCAGCAGGAGATGACGGGATCCCAGCTGAACTGTTTAAAATCTTAAAAGATGATGCTGTCAAGGTGATGCATGCCATGTGCCAGCAAATATGGAAAACACAAGAATGGCCATCAGACTGGAAAAAATCAACTTATATCCCCATACCAAAAAAGGGAAATGCGAAAGACTGCTCAAACTTCCGTACAGTGGCCCTTATTTCTCATGCCAGTAAGGTAATGCTCAAGATCCTGCAAGGAAGACTCCAGCAATACATGGAGCGAGAGTTGCCAGATGTTCAAGCTGGGTTTAGAAAAGGCAGAGGAACGAGAGACCAGATTGCCAATATCCGCTGGATAATGGAGAAAGGCAGGGAGTTTCAGAAAAACATCTACTTCTGCTTCATTGACTATTCTAAAGCCTTTGACTGTGTGGATCATAATAAATTGTGGCAAGTTCTTAGTGGGATGGGCATCCCAAGCCACCTTGTCTCTCTCCTGAGGAATCTGTACAAGGACCAAGTAGCAACAGTAAGAACTGACCATGGAACAACAGAGTGGTTCAAGATTGGGAAAGGCGTACGGCAAGGCTGCATCCTCTCACCCAACCTTTTTAACTTGTATGCAGAACACATCATGCGATGTGCGGGGCTGGATGAATGCAAAGCTGGGGTGAAAATGCTGGAAGAAACATTAACAACCTCAGATATGCAGATGACACCACTCTGATGGCCGAAAGCGAGGAGGAGCTGAGGAGCCTTCTAATCAAGGTGAAAGAAGAAAGCGCAAAAGCCGGGTTGCAGCTAAACGTCAAACAAAACCAAGATTATGGCAACAAGAATGATTGACAACTGGAAAATAGAGGGAGAAACCGTGGAGGCCGTGACAGACTTTGTATTTCTAGGTGCAAAGATTACTGCAGATGCAGACTGAAGCCAGGAAATCAGAAGACGCTTACTTCTTGGGAGGAGAGCAATGTCCAATCTCGATAAACTAGTAAAGAGTAGAGACATCAGACTGGCAACAAAGATCCGCCTAGTCAAAGCCATGGTATTCCCTGTAGTAACCTACGGATGTGAGAGCTGGACCTTAGGGAAGGCTGAGCGAAGGAAGATCGATGCTTTTGAGCTGTGGTGTTGGAGGAAAGTTCTGAGAGTGCCTTGGACTGCGAGAAGATCCAACCAGTCCATCCTCCAGGAAATAAAGCCCGACTGCTCATTGGAGGGAAGGATACTAGAGACAAAGTTGAAGTACTTTGGCAACACCATGAGGAGACAGCAAAGCCAAGAGAAGACAATTATGATGGGGAAAATGGAAGGAAAAGGAAGAGGGGCCGACCAAGGGCAAGTTGGATGGATGGCATCCTTGAAGTGACTGACTTGACCTTGAAGGAGCTGGGGGTGGTGACGGCCGACAGGGAGCTCTGGCCGTGGGCTGGTCCATGAGGTCATGAAGAGTCGGAGAACTGAACGAATGAACAACAACAACAAGTTGCTGGGATTTATAGTTCACCTATAATCAAAGACAATTCTGAACCCCAACAATGATAGAATTGGGGCAAACTTCCCACACAAAACCTGCATGATCAATAGAAAATACTGTGTTTTCTTATGGTCTTTGGTGACCCCCCTGACACCCCCTGGCGACCCCCCCCAGGTGTCCCGACCCCCCAGGTTGAGAAACGCTGCCATAGATCTTACCCTGGTTCAGATAGGTGAGGGTTTCCTCATGCTGTTTAACAGCCGGAGAGGTAACAGCACACAGAATGTATTGGAAAGATGGACAGTGTTGTTCGGCTGATGTTGAAATACTATTTGGGTCCTCCTGCTTCAAGAATGGCAATGCTAGAGGTTCCCTGAAATCAACAAAAATGTTTGTCAAAATGGGAGACTTGGGCAGTTTCTCCAAACAATATTCCTCTCTTTCACAAGTTAGAAAGCATCTACAGCAGGAAGCAATTACAGGGAGAAAGTAGGATGGGGCTATTAAGTCACACAGTGTGATCGCAAACATGTCCCTTCAGTGATTCACTGCATGCAGGTAGCTTTAGAAGTGAGGAGGGAAGAGAAAAGCAATAGACACTTTCTCTGGTTGATGGATAGGATGAGGATGCTTTTCTTCCTTGTCCTGATGTTATTCCCGAGAAGCAAGTTCCCAAAAGTCCTTTGGACCCTGACCAGAATGTACGATTACCTTTTAGTTCTCCAGTCTTAGGGCAGCAAGTGAAAGGATGCTGAAATCAATGGGCATTTTTTCTGGCTATCTGTGCATCAATTAAACATTACAGTATTTTCCATCCAAGTGGTTCTTTGGGTACATCTACACTCAGTGCCATAGCCAGAAAAAAATGGGGGGAGGGGGGTTTGAAAAAAATTAGCGAATCATGAAGAGGAGTTCCATAACACAAAATAATTTAAATAGTATGGTTCATTCACATGAGCAATGACCAATCTTGACAAAATAGTGAAGAGTAGAGATATCACACTGGCAACGAAGATCTGCATAGTTAAAGCAATGGTATTCCCCGTAGTGATGACAATGTGCACATTCAAAAGAAGACCAACAAGCCACTCTAAACACCTTTGCAGAAGCATACGAGAAGCTCGACCTGTCATTGAACATCGAGAAAATCAAAGTGCTCTTCCAGCAGTCACCAGCCAATTCCTCTCCAATGCCAGAAATACAGCTTAATGGTGTAACATTAGAAAATGTTGCCCATTTCCACTACCTTGGCGGCCACCTCTCCACAAAAGTAAACATTGACATTGAAATACAACACCGCCTGAGCTCTGCGAGTGCGGCATTTTTCCGATTGAAGCAGAGAGTGTTTGAGGACAGGGACATCTGTAGGAAAGCTAGCATTTAAACATCTCTTCTGGCAGTCCTTGTAGGGCCATACATACACAGTGTCTCACTTCCTTGAAGATAACATATGCTGATTGCACCTAGGTTTCTCGATTTATGATGAATACGATCGGTTAAGTAAAGAATTTTCAAGATACAAGATAAACCACAGTGAAGCAGGTGCTTGTTTATAAAGCTATTGTCCTCCCAACCCAGCTATATGCCTTCGAGACATGGACTATCTACAGATGCCACATGCAACTCCTAGAATGATTCCATCAGCGTTGCTTCCGAAAAATCCTGCAAATCTCTTGGGAAGACAAGTGGACAAATGTCAGCGTGCTGGAAAAAGCAAAGACCACCAGCATTGAAGCGATGGTCCTCCGCCATCAATTCTACTGGACTGGTCACATTGTCCGGATGCCCAACCACCGTCCCCAAAGCAGCTGCTCTACTCTGAACTCAAGAATGGAAAACGGAATGTTGATGGACAGGAAAAGAGATTTAAAGATGGGCTCAAAGCCAACCTTAAAAACTCTGGCATAGACACTGAGAACTGGGAAGCCCTGGCTCTTGAGCGCTCCAGCTGGAGGTCAGCTGTGACCAGCAGTGCTGTAGAATTTGAAGAGGTACAAATGGAGGGCGAAAGAGAAATGTGCCAAGAGGAAGGCGCATCAAGCCAACCCCGACTGGGACCACCTTCCACCTGGAAACCAATGCCCTCACTGCGGGAGAACATGCAGGTCAAGAATAGGGCTCCACAGTCACCTACGGACCCACCGCCAGTACATCAATCTTGGAAGACAATCCTACTCAGATAACAAGGGATCGCCTAAGTGAGAAGTGAAGTGATTTCCCGTAGTAACCTATGGATGTGAGAGCTGGACCATAAGGAAGGCTGAGCGAAGGAAGATAGATGCTTTTGAACTGTGGTATTAGAGGAAAATTCTGGACCATGAGAAGATCCAACCAGTCCATACTTCAGGAAACCCTAAAGCCCAACTGCTAATTGGAGGGAAGTATATTAGAGGCAAAGTTGAAGTACTTTGGCCACATAATGAGAAGACAGGAAAGCTTAGAGAAGAAAATGATGCTGGGCGAAAAGGAAGAGGGGCCGACCAAGGGCCAGATGGATGGATGGGATCCTTGAACTCTGAAGGAGTTGGGGTGGTGACAGCCGACAGGGAGCTCTGGTGTGGGCTGGTCCATGCGGTCTCAAAGAATCAGAAGTGATTGAATGAATAAACAACAACAACAAATGGTTCATTCTATATTTTATATAGACTTAATTATATCATTTTAATGCTTGCTTCTCATAGACTTAGCATGGGGATTTGGTTAACCAGTTCAAATTAATGAGTAAACCAGTTTTTTAAAAAACTGAAAATTGAGGGGGGGAGGTTAACCCCTAATCCTTCCCACACCCCCACACCCCCGGCTAGAGCCCTGTCTACACTATAGAATCAATGCATCTTGACACCACTTTAATTGCCATGACTCAATGCTGTGGAATCGCAGGAGTTGCAATTTTACAAGATCTTTAGCCTTCTTTGGCAAAGAGTGCTTGTGCCTCACTGAATGACAACTCTTATGATTCTAAAGCATTGAGCCATGGTGTCAAGATGCATTAATTCTACAGCGTAGATTCACTCCTAGTGCAAGGGAGACAATTTCCTTTCGAAACAAAGCTTAATTTGAGTCTTACTTCTGAAGTGACCCAACCAGAGAAGACCAATTAAATCCATTACTGAATCGTAAGTCAGCACTTACGTCAATCTTATTGAATAAATTCAACGAGCTTCCTCTAGTTGGAACTAACAACTGAATTGAGTTCACTGTGGATTTTTCTTTAAAGATTTTGTTTTCGAATACAATACAAAAAGCATGTGTATACAACTATTACAGATATGTTCTTAATACAAAGAACTGTAAAAAGTATTAGTCTTTAATTAATTTCGTTGTCTTGCCTTGTCTTTTTTCTTTCATTCCCTTTGTGTCTCTGCTACAGACTCAATGCTTTGATGTATCTTGCTTGGCTCCAAAGGAAATGCTGTCAACAACAGTATGTAACTTAAAATGAGTTTCTCCCTAATTTCAGCTGTTTTTGTTATTGACACCATAGGGATGATTCTTCATTTTACAAACACAATGCATTTGTATCATACTGAAACAAAGCATTGGTTTCCATTATCACCAGATGCATGTGTACAAAAGTAAGAAAACCTGAGTTACATGGAACTTTTAACACTTGGGACGAGTAACTGAGTGACACAGATTATCCCTCATCCCCTTATCAATATATAGAGCACAATTTTATTGTCAGTTAAATTTTATTGCAGTACTGATAGAGCAAACAGTGTTCCTCCATGCATTTCAGAACAACAGGTTAGATTTGGGGTGAGAAGGAGGCCAAATTAGGGGATCTAGGAGCAATGACAGGGGGCTTCCACTTTGCCCCCATGCCTGGTCATGTTAAGGGACATAAGAGCAATAGCATGGGGTTACCACCTTGCCTCCAATCCTGGTCACCTTAGGGCACATAGGAGCAATGGCATGGGGCGGCCACCTTGCCCCCAATCCTAGTCACCTTAGACAACATAGGAGCAATGGCATGGGGCAACCACCTTGCCCCCAATCCTGGTCACCTTAGGGGACATAGGAGCAATGGCATGGGGCTGCCATCATGCCCCAGTCCTAGTCACCTTAGACAACATAGGAGAAATGGCATGGGGCTATCACCTTGCCCCCAATCCTGGCCACCTTAGGGAACATAGTAGCAATGGTATGGGGCTGCCACCTTGCCCCCAATCCTAGTCACCTTAGACAACATTGGAGCAATGGCATGGGGCTACCACCTTGCCCCCCAATCCTTGTCACCTTAGGGGACAGAGGAGCAATGGCATGGGGCTACCACCTTGTCTCCAATCCTAGTCACCTTAGGCAGCATAGGAGCCAGAGGCGGCCCTAGGTAATTTTCAATGGTAAGCAAACAGTATTTTGGCCCCCCCCCCCCAACCAATCACTGATATATTTTCTGTTCGTCGTGGGAGTTCTGTGTGCCATATTTGGTTCAATTCCATCATTGGTGGAGTTCAGAATGCTCTTTGAATGTAGGTGAACTATACATCCCAGTAACTACAACTCACATATGTCAAGGTCTATTTTCCCCCAAGAGCGCCTCAAGAGTGCCCCTGGGCACAATCAACTATACTGCAAATGCTTACTTTGCGTAATAGGTTGCTGAGGCTTCCCCCGGACTGCTAGGGCTGTTGTGAGCTGAGGGGGCGCTCCTCAAGTGGTGGTCGAGGGCATTTACAGAGGCGCCTCTGCGCCCCTGGCAAAAAAAAGTGTACTGCAACCACTTACTTTGCGTAATGGATGAGCCACCTCTGATAGGAGCAATTGCATGGGGCTACCACCATGCCCCCAATCCTGGTCTCCTCAGAGGACATAAGAGCAATAGCATGGGGTCACTACTTTGTTCCTGATCTTGATCACCTTAGAGGACCTAGGAGTAGTGGCATAGCTTGCCACCTTGTCACCAAGCCGTCTTAGAGGAACAATAGCAAAAGGCTGCCACTTTATTCACAAGCCTGGTCACCTTAGAGAGGATATAGGATCAATGGCAGTGCTGCCACTTTGCCCCGAGCCTAGTCATCTTGGAGACATAGTAGTCATGACATGGTGCTGCCATTTTGCCCAGAAGCCTAGTCACATTAGAGGACATTGGCATGGGTCTGCCATCTTATCCCATAGCACTCGTTGCCTAGTGTGGCTGCCCCACACACATTCCAGCCCTGACACTGATTAAGACAGATATGTAGTAGGCCTGGGCGGTTTCGTTTCGTTAATTCGTAATTCGTTAATAATTCGTTAATTTTTCCAATTACAAAACGATAACGAACCATTCTGGAGCAATTATTAAAAAAACGAATTTTTAAATACGTTTTGTAAATGCTTCGTATTTCGTTATTGTGTTCGTTTCGTTATTGTTTTGAGGTCGTTTCGTTA